GTGCTGCGCCCGCCACGAAATCTGCACTTCGAGGTTCACAAAGTGCTATATGCCTGCCACGAAATCTGCCCATCGAGGGTCACAGAGCGCTGTGCCTGCCACGAAATCTGCACAAAGGGAGAGCGCTGTGCCTGCCACAAAATCCAAAAGTCACGATTCACTGCACCTGTCACGAAATCTGAGCTGCTTGACGATCACCACCATGTCCAAAGTATAGCAGCTTGAGAGCCTTCCTCCAACTCGATGGGCGCTACAAGGCCACGACAGCAAGCGCCAGACCGCCGTAGGCAGTACCGGACCTCAACAGCAAGCGCCAGATCGCAGTGGGCGCTGCCGGGCGTCAACAGCCAGCGCCAGATCCCAGTGCCACCACCGGACCTCAACCGCCACGCCAGAATGTATGTCATATAGAACTTCGGAATAGGTATATATGTTTTAATATATACCGAAGTGTTTGCAAGATGGAATGCCAGAATAATGCAGATAGAATGTCAGACAGGGGCTATGCCAGATAGAATGCCAGTGTATCCTTGCAAGATGGACACTTTCATTGATGGCAGAACAAAGGTCGGAATACCATACCAGGATCAAAGTCGGTCCATGTGTCACATCACATGACAGGAAAGATGTTAGAACACACTCCAACAAGGACAGTCCAGACCATTTCCCAGCAACAGATGATGCAGGGCACAGCCAGACTTGATGCCACGTCAGAACACGTCAATCCATGTCCACCTTTGTCAGTTCAACACATGTCAGGTGGAGAAGAAGTTAGATCCTCGACCGGCATGCAGCTTGGAGTCCAAGGAGCGCCTTTGCGCTCTCGGCATGCAGCTTATATTTTCCGTTCGTTCCTCGCAGGAGGCGTGCAAAGCGGAGGACGACCAACGAAAACGAAAGGGCATTGGTTTCGCCCATGTTTGCCGGACAGGATTTGGTGATTTTGGAAGAAAGCGAAAAGATGTCCAAGGCATTTTCGGTGTGAAAACCTGTGTGAACACGTGAGAAGCGACCGAATTTTGATTCAGGTGAGTTGTTGTCTATGTTTGTTGTATTCTGCTCGCATCCAAGATTTCACCATTTCGTGAACCCCAGGCCGAGCGAGCGGCAAAGATAAAGCAAGTGCAACAGGAAATCCAGGAGACGGAGAGGGTTTGTGGAAACTGTGCAGCAGTTTGTGTTTCGATCAAGTGAATGTTTTGCCTGGCAGAGCCTTGTTTTTTTAGGACGCGAAAGCGCAAGCAGTGGAGTTGGAGAAGAAAGCCAAGAAGCTGAGAAGCCCAGAAACAGGTGAAAGAGTGAAAGAGAACAGAAACACGGAGAGAAATCGAGAGAGAAATCGAGAGTTGTTTTTCGTTCGAAAGAACAGCAGTAACAAGTGCCACGCTACTAGTAACAAGTGCCTTACTAGTAGTAACAAGGAAGCTACTAGGAACAAGTGCCACGCTAGTAGTAACAAGGTTCGCTATTAGCTTATCCGTTCGTTATTTTTTGAGATGAGAAGACAGCGAGACATTTGAGAGCGCCCGACACGAGGTTGACCGAATCCTTGGATCTCATTAAGGCACACCGTACAGTTGTACAGTGAGTGCAGTGACTGGCACCAGCATGCCAGTCTGCCAAACACATCACAGACCGACCATACTGTTCTTTAGAAGTATGGTATCCACATTTTGTTTAATATGTTTTTTCACCTGTATACTGTATATAGAGGTTGTTTCCGTGTTTTCTTTCTTGTCTACTCCACCCATTGGCGCTCGCCGCAGTGTGCCGAGTGTTCTTGAAGCGTTTACCAGACAAGAACGACATAATAAGTTTGTGCCCAAAACAGTCATCCCCAACTTGTGAGTTAGGCAGGCTTTGCTAGGAGCAAGGACGCTACTACGAGCGAAGGGCATCGCTACTAGGAGCAAGGACGCTACTAGGGGCTCCTGGCCCTACTACTAGGAACAATGTTCGCTACCAAAAACCCTCTTTTGAAGCCTGGGTTCCTCGCGTAAGGATCCTCGACTCTTTTCGTGCTCGTTGTTGCCAAGATTTATGGTTTCCCCCAGGTTCCGTCCGGGTTCCGTTTTCGGTCTTCGAAGGATCTCACAGAGAATCCGGGAAGAACATCTGGAAGCAAAATGGGAAAGGAAAAGAAGAGAAAAGGGAAAAAAAGAGATGCTTTGAAGTTCGCCACTTTGTTGTGGAATGACCGAGGCGGGTGGTCAGACAGTGGAGAAGGTGAGGGAGCTCAAGCTGAGCGATTTGCTGTCGAATCCGGATGTAGAACAAGACCTTAGGAGTGTTTTGTTTGTGGAAAAAAATGAAATGAAATCTGTAACCAAAGGAACCTGAGAAAAAACCTCCAAGTTACGAAAAGTTGCAGCAATTGTAGTGTGCGCGCGTCGAACAGAGCAGTGAGAGGCTTCGAGGCTGTGGCAAGTGTTGATAAGGTTAGGCTGTGGCAGGTAGTGCTCTCAGTGCGTGTTTCTGGGAGGTCTGAAGTGCTTGTCGAATCCCGCGTGGAACTGTAAAAAAAGACATCTGTTCAGGTCGGACACACTAGGGTTGAGGCCATCGCTATTAGGTTGGAGGCCATCGCTACTCTAGGGTGGAGGCCATCGCTGCTAGGAACTCAAAAGCATTTTGCACTTTCTTTTAGAAAGAGATGGCTTCATCTTTGATACTGCGCCGTTACTGCGCTTGCATTGCTTCTCTTGTCCGGCATTGCAAACGATTTGAAGCTGAGAATGTTTGTTCCTTGCGGAAGGCTCGGTCTTTCTGTTCCGTCCGGCCATCTCTTCTCCTCTCGCTTTGAAACGATTTCTCGATTCACGTGACACAAAAAGTTGCGAGTTACACATTCCTCCCTTGGCGCGCTCGTTCCTTCACTCAACTTCATTCACTCACCCCTTTCATCAACCAATGGATGGGCCTCCAACTTGGCCTCACTCACCCCTCCACTCGCTCTCATCCCATCTCGTCCGCATCGGAAGTCATCACGCCGTTCACAGGACCTTGCACCACCACAACAACAAATGCTTCATGAACCATACGAAAGCTCTATAGTTTTGCTTTGAACTGCTTTGAGTACAATTTATGGAAAGAAAGACACAGACTATGACAGACTGGTATTTCAAAATGCATCGCTAGTAGTAACAAGTGCCTTACTAGTAGTAACAAGAAGCGTTGGGCCCTTGGAGTCGCTAGTAGTAACAAGTGCCACGCTAGTAGTAACAAAAACAATTTAAAAAAATTGTAATTAGTAGCTTCTTCTTACTACCAGTAAGGCACTTGTAATTACTAAAAAAGGAATCTACTATTTGTACTTTGAACGAGTTTGCATTTGAGTTGGGCCCTCTGAGGTGGAGCAGCTATTGAACGACCCAGATTGGCGTGCTCATTGTGAGGAGAACGAGACGAGAAGACGTTTTTCCGAAAAAGAGACGTTTTTTCTTCTTTTTTCCAGCTTCTCAGCTCTCATTTGGAGCTTTGAGTTTGTGCCAATGTGTGTTTCGTGTACCAAAGGTGTTCAGTTTTTCACATTGAGTAAAGTTTGCCAAACATGTTGAGAACAGCGCTTCTTGGATCACACTGTTTGTTCGTTTGTTTGTAAAGTTAAACACTCTCCAGGGTCGCACCTGCGTGGTGGCTTTTCTACCTCACATTTTCGACGACAGTGCCGAGCAAAGAGAAGGAAAGACGGAAAGAAAAGGGGAAAACGAAAAAAGGTGAAAGACAAATGTCTCTTTGGCGCTCAAAGAGTGGTACCGGTTTGAAATCCGACTGAGTGACCCGGGAAGGCTCTGATGCTCCAGGCTTCGACCGTTCGTAGCGTCCTTTGCTCCGTTCGTAGCGATGCCAGGAGCCCCGTTCGTAGCTTCTTGTTCTTAGTAATGGCCTCCACCCTACTAGCGCAAGAAGCTACTGCACCTCTTCGAAGTCCTTCTGGAAGGACTTAGCTACTGCCCCAGATGTTGTTGTAGAAACTCGAGCGCTCACATTGCAAATGCTTCAAAACATTCCTGTCAAGGTAAGGCTGAGTGTGTACTGAACAGCTTCTTTGTTTGGGCAGCCCACACCAGCTCCCGAATCATTTCGTCCTTCACTTCGAGTTTTGCCACACCGAGCCCCTTCTGGCTTTGAAAGAGATGATAAAACAGAAACGGAAAGATATTTAGAAGACGAGAACAGAGAAGCAAAACATCATAAAAGAAGCTAGTAGTAACAAGTGCCTTACTAGTAGTAACAAGGAAGCTAGTAGTAACAAAGAAGCTACGAGGAACAAGTGCCTTACTAGTAGTAACAAGGAAGCTAGTAGATACAAAGAAGCTACTAGGAGCAAGTGCCTTACAAGTAGCTCCCGGGCAAGCCGGCGGCGGAAGTTTCCAAAAGAATAAGCCTATAGGAGATGTGCATGTGGCAGGAAAGCGAAGCAACCACCGTCAACTGTGTCGCAGGAAAAAAACGTTGTTCATGCATTTTTGCAAAATACAGAATAGAGATGACTCAGCCGCGTACTAAAGTTGTACTACAAAGTCGCCAGTTCTCAGCTTCCAGCTCCACGGCTTGCTCCGCGTACTAGAGTTGTACTACAAAGTCGCCAGTTCTCAGCTTCCAGCTCAACAGATTGCTCCGCGTTCTGAAGTAGTACTGCAAAGTCGCCAGTTCTCATCTTCCAGCTCCCCAGATACTCCGCGTACTAAAGTTGCACTACAAAGTCGCCAGTTCTCAGCTTCCAGCTCCACAGATGCTGTGCCTGCCACGAAATTTGCACATGGAGGTTCACAAAGCGCAGTGCCTG